GTCACTACAAAGTACAAGTGGAAGTAGAAGTATAACGTCACAGTACCCAAATTGCAGCGAGTACCCAAATTGCACCTATTCAACAAAAATAGCTGAGGAAATCTTACATCAGTCAAGGATATGACTCTATAGGGTTATTAGAGAAAAATAACATACGCTTGTTATTGTGGACAAAAAAATCAAAGAACTGTGATAACATATGTATGTTACATGTTTCAAAGGGACAATATACATCATTAGTTTTGTGAAAATAAATACACGTTCTATTGATATTGCTACTGTCTTTATGTATACTAAACTATAGAAAGATATAACAGTTCATAGTTTGCCAATCATGCATATCACACCTATGTTATAACGGAAAAAATATGCCTGTAATAACTAAAGGGTGTTATTATAGCTTCTCTACATCACTTCAAAGCATTTGCTCAGACATAGATCATGCTCAATTAAAATGTATTTTAATTTATTGTAAGAAGTAATGATCAGAGCATGCTCATTGATTTACCATGGTTAATGAAAAATGTATTAATCTAAATTAATAGTTGGTTATCAAGGCTATGCATTTAGTTTCTGCCCAAAGTTTCAAGAGTTCCCTAGAGCCCACTAAAAATAAAATTATTTATGATTTATTTTACAAATAACAAACATATGTTACTACAGATTTAGTAAATTTAAGGATTAAAGAGTAGACAACTCATAAAAGTATCTGTAATAACACATGCAAGTTATTTTCTGTAATAACCCTATAGAGTTATATCCCTGACTGTACATGTTTTCTTTGAGACTAAACAATTTGTATTTTTAAGATTTGACATTATACACGTCTTTCAACATAGGTAAATATATTTAAATATACACAAAACGTTCACAGTATATATCAACAGGTGAAGCATTCACTGGAAAAAGTAAAATCTACAGAAACGTCGCCATGCGACGTTCACAAAAAGTTTTCTTTTAAAAATGAGCAAATAAAATATGTTACAGGCATCCATTTCTTAAAAAATGAATAGTAAGCATGGACTAATATCAAATTGTTCCAAATATTTGAAGAAACAAACAAAACATCTGTTATTCGATTTTTCAGGATGTGAATTTAAGCATGGATGCAATTTGGGTACTTCTCATTACAGAATCATGGATCGTTTGGAGGTCGGTTTAAACCCATTTTTCTATGATTCAATATGGATTCAAAATTAAATTGGTGTAACTATATAGTAAATAAGGATACGTCTACAAAAAGTCAAAATAAACACAGAATGGAAACTTTTGTCTGGATCATAAAAAAACGTAGTCCAAATAATTATGACGTCTTGAAAGGCTATTATATTTTTTTCTTTGACGCCTTACATCGTCTTGAAAGGCTATTATATTTTTTTCTTTGACGCCTTACATCGTCTTGAAAGGCTATTATATTTTTTTCTTTGACGCCTTACATTGTCGATGTAAGGCGTCAAAGAAAAAAATATAATAGCCTTTCAAGACGTCATAATTATTTGGACTAAAAAAAACGTAGACCTGTGAAAAAACTGTCAAAATAGGTGCAATTTGGGTACCCTCACGGGAAGCAAGTTAACTTGTACCATTGTAAACTCGTACCACGTAATTAGTACCAAAAAAGTTAACTCGTACCAACGTAAACTCGTACCATTAAAAATATATTAAAAAATACGAATGTTTTATGATATTTTTTTTTTGGTAAACTAAATAAAACTAGAGGCTCTCAAGAGCCTGTGTCGCTCACCTGATTCTACTTTGGTTTTGAAAATCATGTAAAAATAGATTAAAATCATAACAGATACCCTAATAATGAGTGAGGCCAAATTTGGTTTAATATTGGTCCTGTAATTTAATAAAAAAATCCTGGTAGCCATCTTGAACAGTAAATCGGCAACAAAGTAGCAACACTTAATCAGCACCTCATAAGAACATTAATGCCATGTTTTGGTTTCATTCCATTCAGTGCACCTCTAGAAGAAGCATTTGTATGTATTTCCCAAAGGGTCTTATGTTAAACATGTTAAAGGAAGTCCCCCCATTGGCGGCCATCATGGATGAAGGATCAGCTTCAAAATAAACAAAACTTAGTCAGCACCTCATAAGGAACATTCATGCCATGTTTGGTTTCAATCCATTCAGTATGTGGTTTTCTAAAAGAAGACATTTGTATGTATTGTCCATAGGGTCCTTTGTTAAACATTGTCCCCATCTGGCAGCCATCATGGATGATGGATCAGCTTCAAAGTAACAACACTTGGTCAGCACCTCATAAGGAACATGCATGCCATGTTTGGTTTCATTCGAATTCCATTCAATGGTTCTCTAAAAGAAAACATTTGTACGTATTTCTCGTAGGGTCCTATGTTAAACTAAGTCCTCCGCTGGCGGCCATCTTAGATTATGGATCGGCTTCATAGTAACAACACTTGGTCAGCACCTCATAAGGAACATTCATGCCATGTTTGGTTTCATTGCATTCAGTGGTTCTCTAAAAGAAGACATTTGTATGTATTTCCCATAGGGTCCTATGTTAAACTAAGTCCCCCACTGGCTGCCATCTTGGATGATGGATCAGCTTCAAAGTAACAACACTTGGTCAGCACCTCATAAGGAACATTCTTGCCATGTTTGGTTTCATTCCATTCAGTGGTTCTACAAAAGAAGACATTTGTATGTTTTTCCCATAGGGTCTCATGTTAAACTAAGTCCCCCGCTGGCGGCCATCTTGGATTATGGATCGGCTTCAAAGTAACAACACTCGGTCAGCACCTCATAAGGAACATTCATGCCATGTTTGGTTTCATTCCATTCAGTGGTTCTCTAAAAGAAAACTTTTGTATGTATTTCTCATAGGGTCCCATGTTAAACTAAGTCCCCTGCAGGGGGCCATCTTTGATTATGGATCGGCTTCAAAGTAACAACACTCGGTCAACACCTCATAAGAAACATTCATGCCATGTTGGTTTCATTCCATTCAGTGGTTCTCTAAAAGAAGACATTTGTATGTATTTTCCATAGGGTCCAATGTTAAACTAAGTCCCCTGCTGGCGGCCATCTTGGATTATTGATCAGCTTCATAGTAACAACAATTGGTCAGCACCTCATAAGGAACATTCATGCTATGTTTGGTTTCATTCCATTCAGTGGTTCTCTAAAAGAAGACATTTGTATGTATTTCCCATAGGGTCCCATATTAAACTAAGTCCCCAGCTGGCGGCCATCTTGGATTATGGATTGGCTTCAAAGTAACAACACTCGGTCAGCACCTCATAAGGAACATTCATGCCATGTTTGGTTTCATTCCATTAAGTGGTTCTCTGTAAAAGAAGACATTTGTATGTATTTCTGATAGGGTCCCATGTTAAACTAAGTCCCCTGCTGTTGGCCATCTTGGATTATGGATCAGCTTCAAAGTATCAACACTCAGTCAGCACCTCATAAGAAACATTCATGCCATGTTTGGTTTCATTCCATTCAGTGGTTCTCTAAAAGAAGACATTTGTATGTATTTTCCATAGGGTCCTATGTTAAACTAAGTCCCCTGCTGGCTGCCATCTTTGATTATGGATCAGCTTCATAGTAACAACAATTGGTCAGCACCTCATAAGGAACATTCATGCCATGTTTGGTTTCATTCCATTCAGTGGTTCTCTAAAAGAAGACATTTGTATGTATTTCCCATAGGGTCCTATGTTAAACTAAGTCCCCCCGCTGGCGGCCATCTTGGATTATGGATCGGCTTCAAAGTAACAACACTCGGTCAGCACCTCATAAGAAGCATTCATGCCATGTTTGGTTTCATTCCATTCAGTGGTTCTCTAAAAGAAGACATTTGTATGTATTTCCCATAGGGTCCTATGTTAAACTAAGTTCCCCGCTGGCGGCCATCTTGGATGATGGATCCGCTACAAAGTAACAACACTTGGTCAGCACCTCATAAGGAACATTCATGCCATGTTTGGTTTCATTCCATTCAGTGGTTCTCTAGAAGAAGTTCAAAATGTAAAGAGTTAACGCCGACGCCGGACGAGGACGGACGACGCCGGACGACGCCGGACGACGGACGCCAAGTGATGAGAAAAGCTCACTTGGCCCTTTGGGCCAGGTGAGCTAAAAAGTTGAATTACTTGAATTTTATACTAGATTTTAATGAAAACTTAGACAAAAATACGAATGTTTTATGATAATTTTTTTTAAGCTTTATACAAAAAATTAAAATATATTTGAATTTTATACCAGATTTAAATCAAAACTTAGACAAAAATACGACTGTAATTTCTTAATTACCATGCAAATTTATATATTAAATTCCTTTGATTGCGTTATTATTGGTTGATTATTAACTAATCAACTTGTTTAATTATATTAGCATGGTCATATTCTGCTCAAATGTGCTGAATATTGCATAAAAATAAATGTCATACTTTCTAACTGTTGGTCATAAACAATTTTAAACCTTTAAAACACAATAAATAAATTCTTTCATTAAATAAAATTCCTTTTAGAAACAATAGAAAAATACCCAAATCTATTCAATGTTACTGATTTGGAATGATTAAAAATTAAATCAAATAGTTGTCAGTAAAAGTTTAAAAAAGAGTCTATTCAAGGGAGACAACAAAGCCAATCTGCCACGGTTTTCTCTATCCAACTAGACAAGGAAAATTAGCTACAAATTGGTCATTGTAATTTCAAATTATATACATTTTACAGACTTAAGAGGTATTGAAAAAATTAGTATATATTCATCATTAAACACCATTTGAATGCATTTAAATAAGTTGGTACGGGTTTACAATGGTATGAATTTACCGTGGTACGAGTTAGCAGTGGTACGAGTTTGCATTGGTACGAGTTTTTTTTTAGTGGTACGAGTTGACATTGGTACGAGTTTACAATGGTACGAGATAACTATAATTCCCCTCACGTTAGTAATACAAAGCGCTATTCTATGGAATATTTGTATGCATATGAAACATTTTTAAATAAACATTACTTACTTACTTATCCTTTTATGGTAAAAGTGAAGGCGAATTTTTAAGGCCTACATGTAATGATGGTGCAATGTGACAGGGGAAATAACCTACTGATGAAGAAAGGGGAGATAACCTAATGATAATACGTCTAGTAATGGACTTCTGATATTATATAAGAATAAGGAGATGTGGGTCCGTGTCAAACTCCGAAACAGGAGCAGTGGTGGCATCATGCTTCGCTTCTTTACAAAAAAGGGAAGTATGACCCGAACGATAACGTTGAATGGAGTTTGGGTCCGTGTAACACTTAACAATTTAAAATTTTTAAAAGTTTTCAAATTTCAGTTTTTTTTTAATTTTTGGTCAAAGTTTTGAAATATCAACATTCCATTTTTTTTTAATTTTTTAAATTTCATCAAATATTTAAAATTGTAAAATTGTAAAACAAGCTTTTAAAATACTAAACTTAACGTACAGTTTTGATCATTTCGCCTTTTGAAAGTTTTTTGTTGATTGATAGCGTCGAAAAACTAAAAAAAAATCAGAGTCAGACAAAAAACCCTAACCCCCCTTGAAGTTAAATGGTTGCTTAGGGTACCTGTACAGTACGAAACGAAACAAAACAAAACAAAACAAAACAAAATATGACGAAACGAAACAAAATGAACATGTTTAATTAAAAATCAATGTAAAAAATAAAACAAGAGTCAGACGGGGATAAAAGCGGAGAAAAATTAAATAAAAATATTAAATATTTCTCAAAAGTGGAGACATAGGCCTAATTAAAAAAAGTAAACACTTTGATTATGATCATTCTTAAGTAGGAATAGAAAGAACAGAACGAATTGAATCATTTTTAATCATTAAAACAGAAATATTTGAAGAATAGGCTGTATTTCTTTTAACATCACATGCTATATCAATATCCTGAAGTGTTTAAGGTTTTACATCCATTAAAAAAGAACACAATTTCCAAACCTATTTAAAGCTGCATTTAAGAGATTAATTTTGCTTACAATAAAAAATCTTGTAACAGAAGCTAAGCGTTGCAGATAATTAATTCAGCACTATTTGGTTTCCACAATTAATCAAAAGATAACAGCGAATTTTGAATGTATTGGTCGTAATGGTCAACAACGAATTCTAGGTTGGGTAGTTTACTCCAAATTTACAATTGTGTTTGTTCCATATTTTTGCCAACAGCTTGATAAAGCGCTCATCATTTAGGAGAACAGTAAAAAATGACCAACTCGCAATAAGCCGAATAATGTGGTAAGACTGAGTATGTAAATATTTGCAACTGTACTTTAAGCAATACTGAATGAAACAAAATGGTTCAATACACGTGTATTCCCTCAAATTTGAATTCAGATTTTTTTTCGGCTTCTTACTATTTGCATCCATGTCGGCAAATAGATAGATAAATAGAATCATTGAACGTACATTTTGAACGCTCATCTTTAGTCTTTTATCGATTTCATGACGATCATATATTGCCTTTTATTATTGATTTTAAGTCCAAGTATTGGTACGGTAGGTGAAATACTGAATCAGTGGTGTCGCAATGAACGTTGTGCTTGTCTGGAATATGGAAGGTTGTGAATTGGATTGCAGTCTGATCAAATCATTTCTTTTTTATATTAGGATCTGCGTAACACTGCTTATCCGATATACACGCTGCTTTTAAGAGTAAGACCAAATATTAGTAGCCGTGGAGCCAGGATAAAATAGAACACGAAAAGGCTGCACTACCTAAAAACAATAAATTAATTCCACAAAAAAGACAAACAAGACATTCAAATTCGAACAGCTTCCAAATTCCATCCTTCAAAACACAGTACAGAAAATAATCCCTTTTTCTAAGATCTATAACCGACTGGAACAAACTACCTGATAACATCATTAATTGCACATCAGTAGACTCTTCAAATCTTCAATTTCAAAGCATCAATATTAACTCAACTATTACATCAAACTAATTATACATTGCATTTTTCATTTTTTCATTTTCCTCTATTTTTAATTTGTATATATATATCAATCTATGTCGTGTTGTAAGCAGAGGCGGATTTAGAGGGGGACCCAGGGTGCCCCTTCCCCCACCTTTTGTGGGGAAAATTTGGTTGATTATATAGGGAATCATTGTAGCATGACTGGAGCGGGCCACATCTTAAGCAGTCAGTCCCCCCCCCCCCCCACCCTTTATGAAAATTTCTGGATCCGCCACTGGTAAGTTATGCTCCTGTGACATAATCTTCAATTTGTTGAAGGCGGTCACTATATGGTAGAAGAAGTAGAAGAGAAGAAGAAATAATGTTAAGAGGTAGACCACTAATATCCAACTCTGACAGCGTGATAGTCTTGTGAAAGATAAATACATTCATACCACATAAACATAAACATATCACGTAAACATTCTTTTCAGTCTTAATATCCATGTAATAGTTGCCGCTTTACATTAAGCGCCCTTCTATTCATATGTAGCTGTGGGCATTTTTATTAACGCGTGTCATCAGATTTGATTACATGATCAACACCTTGTTATTTATTTGAACGATTAAATTGTAAGGTAGTTTTGATAATGACATATTTTTTTGTGTTGTCATCAGTTTAATGCGTATGCGATATTTTCTCCCTCTTGGAGATGCTTAGCCTGTTGCCCAATCCAATTGTATATTTGTAAAAGAAAAACACATTGTTAAACAAAACCGAAATTCAACTGATATAATGTTTTAAAAGTTCACATCACCGATATACATATTTGTAAGTTGAAGTGACCAATCTTAATGGTACACTGTTTTGGTTGTTTTTTTTTCATATTTACTTTTTCGTTTACCGTTTTAGCATAATTTTGGTCGTTGGTTGTCTCATTTAATCATGTCACGTAACACAGTAGGTATAGTGTCCGGCTAATAGTAGATCGATTTACTGCTATTTCGCAAGTATAATGGCTTTTATTCATGACTGTTCATTTTATTCTGAATACTATACATATTTAAAGCACAAACTACACACAACTTCATTCAGTTTCACTTAAAATTCAGCGTTTTAAATTGTCGGTTTTTTTTTCGAGAGCAACATTTAAAACGTCCTTGAGTTTCACTTAAAATTCAGCGTTTTAAATTGTCGTGTTTTTTTTCGAGAGCAACATTTAAAACGTCCTGGTCTTTTAACAAAGTGGCCGGGTTTTTTTTTTTAAAGAAAATGTGAATAAGAAAGAAATTCTTGGCATTTAAAACAGATTTTTTTTCTAGATTATAATTGTAATTTAGTGATGAACAATATTATATATTATATTACATATTCTCATTAATTACAAAACATATTACAATATTTATCAAATTTAACCCTTTTCAATTTAATGCTTATTTTCTTTACTGAAAACATTTTACAATAACCTTGCAGTATTACGATGTATAAGAATGCACTGGCTGCTTTTAAAAACGGTCTTTAAAACCGAGTGCAGGGGACGCATAATCTTGATGACGTCTAAATCCATTGGATGCTGGATGTGTATTGATTAATATTTTAGTCTTAGATGTATGATTTTTTTATTAGTTGTTATAGGCTTTGAACTAGCTTTTTAAATTTAACTTTGAATTTGGGTTTTACTCAACTCAACAGCAACTGTCAGTTACTGCGAGTATTCTTATATCTGTATTTAGTGTCGTTTTGTCGTGGGGATGAATATGTACCCTGCCACGTTCACTCTGTGTTTTTGTTAGATGTATTTTTGCTTTGTATCCATCTGATAAGTTAAGTAAGCTCTTTTCAACTGATTTGTAAAGTTTGTTCATATGTTGTACTGTTATACCACAGGGGGAGGGTTGGTGCGTTCAAACTAGTTTAACCCTGCTATATATTGTGTGTGCCTGTACCAAGTCAGGAGCCTGTAATTCAATTTTGTCGTTTGTTCCTGTATCATATTTGTTTTTCGTTCATTATTTTGTACATAAATCAGTTTTCTCGTTTGAATTGTTTTACATTTGTCATTTCGGGGCCTTTTATAGCTGACTACATGTATGCGGTATGGGTTTTACTCATTGTTGAAGGCCGTACAGTGAACTTTAGTTGTTAATTTCTGTGTCATTTTGGTCTCTTGTGGAGAGTTATCTCATTGGCAACCATACCCCATCTTCTTATTTTTAAACCTTTGTTTTGACAGTCAATACTATTCTATGATTGATATATATTACAATGGCGAACCCCTGAGTTTTAGAAATAGGGGTAAGAAAACTAAGGAATAGAAGTGCAAAATCCGAAAAATTCAATATAAACTCAAATATTCTATACTACAAGAGGCCTCGCAAAAATAAAATTACAATAGCAAAAACCTTAATGCGCCCATATACTATTTCCCTTTGACCATAACGTTTGAATTGAATTGAATATCTAATAAAAAATGAAAACAACACCTGATTGCATTCGTCCGAAGCGCTTTTCTGTATTTACCTACATCCGGAACGCTCAAAACTGAATATTTGAAAGCCAAAGATGTATAAGAACCGAAACAATTGAAGAGCTGTATGACCAAAAGGGACATAAAAAAATAGCAAAATCATTCTAAGGTCAACTTTGCCTGAGGAAGTTGAAACCTTAGTTTCTATATAATTTTAAAATTATAAACGTCCAATTTTAGATGATTGATTGTTGTTTGATTATACATCCAGTGGCAAATGTTTGATGCATGTTAAGGATGGGAACAAATTAAAAATAAATACAATAGGTAGGTCCTGTAATAGAGTGCGTTCTGGATGAAGGTCGGGAAATTTAGACTACCACTGGAAAATAAGTGTAGATCTGGTAGGGACAGACATTTTGCCTTAAAACAGGCAACCAACGCAACCCTCAACAAGTTAACGAGTTGTTAAAAGTGTTCTTAACGTGCAGATTGTGTGGCACTCTCTCTACACAGCCCATTCTGAACGGATATGGCTGCGTGTTTGTACTTGCTCAAAGTTGTTTGTCGTACGATAACTTACAAAAGTGCAAATAACAAATACTGAAATATCCCTTAATACAAAAAGCTAATTATCCCGTTTCCTTTTATTTGCTCTTAAATTCGCTATTAAAAACATGTACCATTATCTAAGTCAAATATACAGACACATACTATTAGTAACCACATTTAGAGCGGTAATCACAAAGTCGACAAGTAATTTCTGCATATTGTTCTTTTATTTAGAGAATCAAAGTGTGTCAAAATCAGGTCTTACTAATTAATTTTTCGATTTAAAGAAACATATTTCTCATTTTCACCCTGTAGATAGAAAAAGTTAGCCTCTTGTTTTATATTACATGTATATTTCATGTTTTTAGTTTTTTTTCAAAAAATATTCTTTTCGTTTTGTTTCGTTTTGGTAAATTTCGTTTCGTTCAATTTTTATTCCGTTTCGCACTTAATGGGTACCATCTTTTTAGTCCTTCTTATATCTTAATCAAAAATCTAAAAAGCGAAATTATCAAATCTGCACTTTATGTTTAGTATTTTTAAATTTTGATTAAATAGCGTAACTATTAAATTTTATAACGAATTTTGGAATTCTGAAATTTTAATTATTTGGTGAAATTTTCAAAATTTCAAAAAATTTCAAAAATTCCAAAAAACTAAAATTTGAAAACTTTTTAAAATTTTGAATTGTTAAGTGTTAAACGGACCACCACCGAACTTGTTTTCGAGCTACAGGTTTTGCAAAAATGACACATTTTGTATGGGGTATACAGAGAAAAAACATCATGATGTTAATAGAAGGTAAACTGAATAATAAAATTTTGAAATTAAAATATGAGAAGACAGCTCTTAAAAAATGGTTTCAGATTATCATAAGAAATAATGGGGTCACCGTAGGTTTTTTCCTGTTGTAACAATAAAATAGATAAATTTCCTGAAAATTACTTTATGAAGTATTATACTCTTCCTGAGTTACCTAAAAATTGAAATTGAGCAGAAATATTCTTCTTTTAGATAAATATAACATACGATCAATTAAATTTGTTCATTTAAATGAAAATTCATTATTAGTAAATTACATTCCTGCATCGAAATTTGCTGACTTAATAAAAAGTCTAGACCCATTGTGTTCTGCGATTTTGCAATCCAAGATGGCGGAAGACACCAAATGCCACATTAAGATATATATGCAGTGGTAAATGCAAGATGGCATAGAGAGCGTATCACTATGACCGGAAATATATATATTGTTTTCCTTAAAATCGTCTTAAACATTTTGCCTCTGTATGCTCGGCAAACTTTTTGTCATTTAGGATGACTGTATTATATAGTTTGATAAACTGATATGGCTTATGAACACAGAAGAATAGGTCAATTCTCACTGCTGCTGGTAAATTTATTTCTAAAAATTGTTAATTATGTGGCTTTCTTGTCTGCTTCAGACACGAGGAGGACTGTGTAAATAACACAGCTCCTTGAGCACCGCCCCTTCGTGTCTGTTGCAGTAGGGAAACCTACACTATTCTCAATACCTATTACTGCAGTATATTTTATTTGCTGTGAATAAACTTGAACTTTTGTTACATTTACGTTTGTTTCTCTGCATCAGATACGAGGAAGCTTGTTAGAGCTCTTAAGCTCACAATCATAGAGCATCGTCCCTTGGGACCTGTTGCAGCTAAACAATCAATTATATTTATACATTTCCAGCAAAAATATTATAAAATCAAGTGAGAAGAACGTTTGCCACATCTCTGGAGTAGCAATTCTTAAATACTTTTTTATTTTAACATATAATAGCCTGTATGACTTTATATCAATATTTTAGGTGTATTATATGAAAGTCATGTAAAATACTGTATGTTGTAACGATTATATTTGTTATATGTGTATGCCCCCCTGGGGACCTAATTTGGAAAATAAAATTTCTTATCTTATCTTATAGTTTGTTAAATTGATTTCGCTTAAAATTGATCTCCTGTCATTTTTTATTTATTTTCTGTGTTTGCAAGAACAGAATGCAAACCCTCAAAACTGCTACTAATTGATTTATACACCAAAAGGAAATCTCCTTTATGATGCTATAGTATAAAGCAAATATGCTTGACTCCATACTGGAATTAGAAGACAAAACTCCTAGGCTTATCTGGATATTAGTAACGAATTTAAATATTCTGACAAGGACATCAGTGATAAGGGTTCCAATATTCCCTCTGTTGAATGGAATATTATTTTGATAAACTTTTAAATATAGATTATACTACTGAACAGGATGATTTTCCGTTAAGTTATGATGTTACAAGGAATAATGTTTTACTTGATTATGATATGAAGGAAGTGCTCTGAAGCAAGCGCTTAAAGCTATAAAAAAAATTAAAGAATAACACAAGTGTAGGGTTTGACTGTATAAGTAATGAGATACTTAAAAGAGATATCCTGCTCCACATGTGGCACCCGTCGTGTTGCTCATGTTAGTACAAACCCGGGGATAAGTATAAATCTGTAGGTCTCATTCGAGAAAAAGGGGACGGAATTGTACTGAGTTACGAAAATTGGAACATATCCGTTGTCATTTGTATCGGATATATCGGATGTTCACAATTGGTAAGCTGAAATCATCTCTTTTGTCGAAAGTTTTGTTTTCAACCGACCATCATCATCAATTTCTAGATGTAAGTCAAGATATAAGGCAGACTTTACTATATCTGTTGTATCCTTTATCTCAGGTTCGATTGGATAGATGCGTTCAGCATAGTCACCACATTTTGAATTATTTAGTGAGAGAACATCATCTATATAGCGGAAAGTGATTAGGTACAAAGTTTGAAAAAAAAGACTGATAACTAAATATGACGATGACAAATTGTACTATTTACTTTAAACAAAGTCACAGAAGTCCCAGGTTGTGTAGAACTTAAATATACACTTCGACAAATGAAAAAAAAAAACATTTACTAGCGAATTGGACATAATCACAAAAGGTAATCTTACAACCAAGGTAATTAAGGCTAGTAAGCAATTAAAAATGTTTTCCGTTCAAAAACACACCTATTTATGGATAAATACAAGTGGAAACCTTTCTTAAAATTTCTGTCATAGTTATTCCTGTCACTTTGCTGTCTTGTGTCCAACATTGTGTTGTAGACAAGCAGCATTAACACTTTCGTACTACACCAATATAACATATTAGAGCGAAAGATTCAAAGCTGACCAAGTTCGGTCAAAATTATCTGTACCTTGTTGGCACATTTACCGTCCAGTTTTCCGGCTATGTTTAAAATGATTTTAGTTAATTACGTATTATTTATTTTTGATGAACTGTCAGTTATTTTCTTTAGTATTTTGCAATTTTGTACTTTAAAAAATATGTAAATATTGATTCAAAACTTTTAATTCTTATTTTTTTCAATTTTCTTTGGTTTTTAATCAGAAAGTTTCATTTAAGGGTAATCTAACAAATTCTGTATTTTAACTTCTACTTTTTACTTGGTTACATAGTTTTGTTGCCAATGTCAACATAAACTTCGAGCATGATTAAATAAAAAGTAAATACATGGCAAATAATCACTATTGTATTTGTTGAAATGTCATTCTTAAATGTCTATATTTCGAACCGCATTCTTCCCTTTCGCACGACGTTGAATAACAGTCCACACGATAAATATGATAAATTCCAGCAGCTCTGTAATAGTAAGAATACTAGCACCAAGAAAAAGACCCATCTGTCCTCCAAGATTTGCTGCAAAAGAATATATATTTCTGTTCAGTAAAATGAAAAAATATCTTTGCCAAACAATTAAACTATTTATAAACAAAATGTGTTTATTAATCACCTAATAGATATTAAGTTTAATGACTCTTATATGTTTTGTATATTCTTAAATGCACAGCCGGTTCACTTGTCGCACAAAATTAATTCCGTAAAATAAAACTTCATTAAAATGAAAGTTTGTAATTCATAAATTTATTAACTGTAACGTAATACGGAATTTTGTAAAGGAATAGTTCATTGAACTTCAGTTTCGAAAAGCTTAGTAAGCAAAAGGTCGCACGTTAAGCTAATGTTGTATCATTTCCATCAAAAAGTGTGCTTAATAGTTATTTGTAACTTAACATTCAATACGAAATACCATTTAATAAATTCTTCACAAGAGGCTTACATGTGACTGTAAACATAACATGGCAGCTATATCTAATGTGTAAAGGAATATTGCGATTAATTCAAGCACACTGCATACAGACAGATCCTCATGTATAACAACATGGACAAAGTTTTATTTGACTCAAATGTGTGTATTACTTTTCAAGAATGTTTTCTACAAACCAGTGTTTTCCTACTACCAGTCAGCTGATATTATCGTATTTTCTGATTTTTATACTTTTCAACTTCGTTTTTGAATTGGCCTTCCAGCTGTTTTGATTGGAGCCCCATTGATGAGTCTTATGTAGACGGAACGCGGGTCTTGTATACCAAAATATAAACCTGGTATATTTGATGATTTTTTGTAAACCTTTCAGTCTTTGAACGCTGAGTTTGTGCGTGATTTTGGGTTGGTAAAAATAAGGCGGGAGCAAGTAGGCTTTCTACTTTTTGATGTTATGTTCTGGCGTTGATCCTGATTAACTCGTCTGGTATTGCTTTTGCGCTATTCACTCTGGGTCCAGATTGTTGGCCTATCTTATCAAGCTCATTATGTCGTCTTTTTGCAGGAAGCTTGATCAGAATAACTGATACAAGTAAATAACCCTAAGTGTCGTCTGTCTGTTCGAACAACTCTAGACTTCGTATGTAAGTTTCCGTTTTGTCATAATATTTACACGAATAACGAAGGCTAGCTCAAGTATAAATCGGCGGCCAATTATCAAATTGAGCTCAAATGTATGTTTGTATTATCGTATGTATCTGTCCATACCCCCCCTTGTAGCAATGAATTGGCTTTTTGAGTAACCGTTTGTCATAGGAAAAAATATGGTCTGCAACGCTTCGCCTTGTAGAAGTGACTTCGAGTAATTAAACTTTTGTACGTTGCTGAGTGTGGGATTTGTTTGAATGGCTGTCTCATATGAATTCCAAAGTGATTGCTAATCAAAAATATTCAAAAGAAGGTAGGTGTGTGGTACTGCCAATTTGGGCTAGAAAACGAACGTAAACTTTGAACGTGCATAGACGGGTTGGTAAGAGAAACAATATCAGATATATTTCGTTACTGGTATAAAACAATGTTGAATTGATTGTACATGAAACAATTGGAATGCGGGTTCAATTGAGAGGAGTCGATTACTGGTAATTATTGCATGCAGGTAGAACCGTGGTCTGTATAGGTATATAAGAGGGAGTTACATTGCTTTCTTGAAAAACGGAAGTATTGACAGGTAAATTATAATTGGTAGATTGTGAGAGTTGAATGAGTTTTCAAATTTGAAATATCATAAAGTGGTTAATTGAAACAAAAGACATAATTACGATTTGATAGATATATTAGAAAGCTCTAGCAGCACTTCAAGGAGACGTGACATTACAAAAACCGCGGTCTATAGAAAACATCCTGAGCGTGGTATTTACGACAGGGCTTTCAACCTATGGCAAAACTTCACGCCTTATGGCAAGTGGAAGACGCTCCAAAGCAACAATCTGAGCAAACGTTTTGTAAAATGTTTATCACAAGACATATGCAAATAAGACTTTAAAAGTTTGGTGCGTCAGAAGTGATATACTTGATACACCTACATCCGAAACGCTCAAACCCAAACACTTGACAGCCAGCTAGGGTCGTACGTCAGAAGTGCTTTACTTGATACACCTACATCCGAAACGTTCAAATCCAAACACTTGACAGCCAGCTAGGGTCGTACGTCAGAAGTGCTTTACTTGATACACCTACATCCGAAATGTTCAAATCCAAACACTTGACAGCCAGCTAGGGTCGTAGTCAGAAGTGCTTTACTTGATACACCTACGTCCAAAACGTTCAAATCCAAACACTTGACAGCCAGCTAGGGTTGTACGTCAGAAGTGCTTTACTTGATACACCTACGTCCGAAACGTTCAAATCCAAACACTTGACAGCCAGCTAGGGTCGTACGTCAGAAGTGCTTTACTTGATACACCTACGTCCGAAACGTTCAAATCCAAACACTTGACAGCCAGCTAGGGTCGTACGTCAGAAGTGCTTTACTTGATACACCTACATCCGAAACGTTCAAATCCAAACATTTGAAAGCCAGGAATGTATAAATACGTTGAAATCTCATGCAAACCAAATTCATGTTTAGATCAAACCTCGAGGTATAGGGAGAGGGTCGAGATCTCACAAAACATGTTTAACCCCTCCGCATTTTTACGCATGATCCAATGCAGGAGCCTCTGACCTTTGTGTTAGTCTTTTATGATTTTTAATTTTAGTTCATTTATATGTTTTGGAGTTTAGTATGACGTCCATTTTTACTGAACTAGTACACATTTTTGTTTAAGGGCCAGCTGAAGCCCGCCTCCGGGTGCGGGATTTTTTCGTTGTGTTGAAGACTCATTGGTGGCCTTCGGCTGTTTTTCTGCTCTTTGGTCGGGTTGTTGTCTCTTTGACACATTCCCCATTTCCATTCTCAATGTCATGTTAGGTCAACTTTGTCTGAGGGAGTGTGAACCTTGGTTTCTTATTTATATCGTAGCTAACGGGGTTATTTTAGAAAAGTGTGTTATAAATCGTGTCATCACCGAAGCATGAGATGATGATAACCTCAGAGGATTAACAGCCCACCAGCATCGGTATCGACTAAGTGCTAGTAAATGAAAATAACATTTTTATTAATTTCGTCCAAAGTGCTTTTCTGGATTTATCTTCATCAAGAATGTGTCAAATGAAAAAAAAACAATACAAGGTGTTTGCTGGATAACTTAACAGTATATCTTATTGTGTATATCCTTTATGCCATGGCGTTGTCAGTTTGTTTTCGATCTATGAGTTTGACTGTCCCTCTGGTATCTTTCGTCTCTCTTTTATTCATTTAAAATAATTAGGACTTGAGGTATAAAACCAGACAAAATAGATCAAATTACAATATGAAGGCAACAAACAAAAATTGAGGAAATTGCATCAACAACAAAAAAAAAAAAACAACGAGACAGGGTGCGTCGCCAGGGTAAGCATTTCCTACTTTTCATGCATAACCCGAATCCACAGTCAGACAAATATCACAATCGATAATAGGACACAATTGATACATTTGGTATTTAAAGATCTAAGATCGCGAAAATATGTCCCTAGTGAGTTTAGAAAAAAACATATCGTATCGGTCAACCAATTGGAGATGACGACTGTAAAACTTATGCTATTTCTATTTCAGTCATTTTGAAGCAGTTATGTGTAAAAAGCACTTCGCAGTTAATAAATACTTTATAGTGTGAATATGCACGAGAGTAACGTATCACCTGAATTATGTAAACGCCATTCAAAGCCTGAGAAATTGGAAAAGAGAGGCGAAAGATACAAAAGGGATATTCAAACTCATAAGTCGAAAATAAACTTACAACGCAATGGCAAAAAGGAAAAAAAAGACCAAAAGACAAACAACAGCATACAAAACACAACATAGAAAATATGGAAGTTGGCAATTGGAAATTTGAAATCATCATGTTTGTAAAAACGGTTCATTAAAACTTTGTAATACTAGTAGATGATTTAATGTAAACGTTACCATTTCTTTTAACAGAAACTGAAAAAATCCTTCGACAAGCAAGGCTGCAACCGAGTGAAGATACAAATAAGTCTGATAACATAATCATGAGAAATTAAATAAATGTACCCAACTAGAACCGGGTATAAAGTCCTTTGCTGCTGCAAAATGACAAGCATTTTAAGTACTTTGTGGCACCCCTGGATTATTAAAGAGATCAAGCAAGGAGAACCGAAAAACAAATTCCAAGTCATACTGGACTGTATGCTATGCAAAACATGTGATTATAATCCTGGTATCTTTGCTGAGTTTTAATTAGGCCGACCGTTCTAGATCTGTAGGAGTCTATCTTATCTACCTAATAATAACGTAACACCGTCGTATTTAGGAATTTGTTCTGTTACTGTGGTTGACAGGTCTTTCAGATATATCCGAATCTTCAGGTAGTGGCTTTGATAATCATTTCTATAATATAATTTATAATTCTAAGATTTTGAAATTCATGAGATAAAAAAAGACACGAATGTTGAAGTGTATATTTTATTGTAGGGAAATTTTAGTTTTCCAAATATCTTTACAATTCCAAAACGAAATTGTTCAAGTCCGATATTATCAATAAAATTTATTATTTTAACAATATCCAATATCATTTTTAGTTTAGCATGCTTGTTTGTTTCTGTATTTATCGTGCCAATGGCTTTGGACCATTTTTAATACATTTTGTATCAATAATTTAAAAATTAATATGTATAGATTTTTGAGCCGTTATACCTAATCAATTATAAACAACGAATAAAACAGCTGCTTATAGTATAATTGGGAGCTAAAGCTGTTCAAAAAATATGTACGAAAGAAAGATCAATTTCAAAGATTTTAACAAATATAAGTTTTTCATAATCAACTCATCTAGGGATTTGAGATAAGTATAAGTTCAAGTTAATCTGAAAATCGTTAGTACCTGAACATATATGTTCTGAGTGAATGGTACTGGTTAACTTTTGTTCAAAGTATTTTATTGTCATATTGGTTCGTTTTATAGTTCAGGGAAATCATTATTTCAAGGTTTATGGTGAGTGAATATTTTTTTTTCACAAATACTTCCATCTACCCCTTCCTCTCCGCTCGGTTCCTTTCCAGTAAATTTCAAGCTACATGTATATGTATATTTTTAATAAATCCAAAGTACTAATATAACTAAGATGCTGTGGTGCAAAACCTAAATTGTAACCGCATATGCTTACTTGTTCGCTACGGATGATAATACTTGGTCAAACTTAATGACATGGCATTCTGGAGGACAAACACATAGTGTTGATGACTGAAATACATTCCCTGTAAAAGTAAATAATGTAGGACTGAACAAATGGTTGTCATATCAAATAGGAAGCATGTTTCTTTTATGCATTTATGTACCTCATTTAAGGTGGTACATAACACTACAGGGAGATAAATTTATAAAATTCAGCTGGACGTTTTAATCACGTTCTATTGTTAAGGAAATATCAAGCTTCTCAACGATCAAAATTAATGTTTGTCAAACTGCTATATATATCCCATGAATTTTTCGATAAAGTGTGTGGTTCAAGTTTTTTGAAGTTTTAATATTTATGTCAAAGAGTCAGTTACGCTTCTTGTATAAAATATAACAATTAGTTACGTTTATTCATTTGTTACTTTAAGTGCATGTTTTTAATTAAAAAAATATATATAGCTTTTGTTCATCTCAGATTTCTATTGACCTCTCGGTTTTCGACATTTTGCGATCCTTGTAAAGACTGGTCCGCCTGTCCTTTATATGTTTAGATGATACAGACAAAGGTATCAAAATTAAGTATTGATCCACTGTTGTTTGCTAAGTTATATATAATGTAAATGAAAAACATAACTAAATTTTCGAAAAATTGTGACCAAAATCAAATACTGTCGTTATTCTCGATTGGAGCATAACCTCATCTTGACATGTCTATAATTCATATGTAGAATGCGTCAGTGATCATGTCCTAATTATGAAACAAAACATGGCCACTGAAAACAAGTATTTGAATTCTGGATAATAACGTATCGACAACTGAATACTTACCATATAGTTCTGCAGCACAAGTATTGGCATGGTAATCATTGACGCAATATGTATCATTACCTAATAAGGGAAATAAAAAAATATCAACTTCCGGTTATAAAACATGTCTAAGCCAATCATATTATAGTTCGAAATGAAAGTATAAATAAGAAGACAATAAGGTCAGCCAAGTATAAGAACCATTCTATACCGTACATCGGAACATTTTTGCGTCCTTCTAATTTGTATTTTGTTTGCAGTAGGCAGTAGGCATTTCAACGCGAAATTAACCGTATGCGCACATTTCACGGTCTATTTAATTGCTGTGTACGTCAAGATTTAAAACTGTTCCTTCAAAGACTCAAATCGCGCGCAAAAGGCGATATACGGTAGTACGTTGATTAAGTAGTGTTCACACTCTATACGTTAAAAATTTTCACAACAAACCTCCCTCTTATTTTTAAATGAAAAACGTACTTATTAAATGTACTCCTAAGTTCTTTAACCAGCAAAAAAAGAAATATAACCCAAAATTATTAACTATTGGTCGATATAATTTAAGAGAAACTGAGTATTTTGAAACAACTAACAAAGGGTCTATGTGTTTGCACTGACGCATTTTTTTATGTATAATATTATCAAAAAGTAAAATAACAAAAATACCAACCTCCAAGGAAAATTTAAAACGGAAAGTCCCTTATCAAATTGCAAAATCAAAAGCTCAAACAAATCAAACGAATGGAAAACAACTGTCATATTCCTGACTTGGTACAGGCATTTCTTTATGAAGAAAATGGTGGATTAAACCTGGTCTTATAGATAGCTTAACCTCTTCACTTGTATGTCAGTCGCATAAAATTCCATTATATTGACAAAAATGTGTGAACAAAACAAACAGACATAGTAGGTAAAAATGTCAACAATAGGGGTACAGCAGTCAACATTGTGTTATAATCTTAATCACTATAAAAACAAACAATCAAATTATGTCAACAAAGAAAATAAAATGTCATATAGACAAAGCACATAAGCATAAATGAAAGACAAGAAAACAAAAAATAACCATAACACAATAACACAATGGCGGGATGTATAAGTACCGAGCCACGCCAAAAAAATATTACCAAAAACTGAACTAAACAGTAAATGTTAATAATTTACAAAGACAAATAAAAGAACACTATTACATGTAATTAAGATGATAAACAAAGTCAAGATGTGATTAGTGCCTTGTTTTTCTCCCTTTTTATTGAATTTGAAGTTGAAGCCCATCCCAAATGTGAAATGATCTGTAGTATCTGGTCATTTATGGAGTTCCTTCTTTGTTGTATTATGTGCTCATTTCTGTCCAGAAGAGAGGCGAAAGATAACAGAGGGACATTCAAGCTCATAAGTCGAAAATAAACTGACAACGCCATGGCTAAAAAGGAAAAAGATCAACAGACAAACAATAGTACACAAAACACAACATATAAAACTAAAGACTGAGCAGATCCTGTGTAACCTTAAAAAAGATTTTGAACGACTGAAAGTAAATAAATCTACAATTTGGTTGTATTTGGAGAACAAATTCTACATCAACTCTTAAATATCTCTCATTATATAAAACATCATGATGGTCTACTTTGATGCTCTTATGTGCAATAAGCTTTTATTGTAGTCCTTTTTGGGGGTTACTACCGTTTATCTTTCCCTCTTTGTTGAAAAATTAGTGCAACCAGACGTATGATTTAGTGCGCGTGTTTCGTTAAAATAAGAGTCATGACTGGCTCTCGAATCAAAACCGTTTGAATAATAAATCAATAACGCAGTTGTAGGGCTTTAAAAATCAAAAAATCAAAAAATATCAACGGAAAGGGTCATCTATGCCTGGAGGTAGAAAAACACAAGTGTTTCAACGTTTTGTATAAAAAGCTCGATAAGCTATCTTAAAAAATGCACTAAATATTCGGGTCCGAAAAGGGCCCTTACCGAACTTACTGCATAACAGAAAATAACTACATCACGAATATGTCATGTTAACACAGGCGTACTGAAAACTGAGCCTCCTCATGTGGTTTTTGATTATGTGATTACTTGGCCGTTTTTATAGTTATTATTTGATTACCAGACCAACTATTTTATGATTATTTGATTATTCGATAATCTAGGACTGTATTTTTGATTATTTGATTATCTTGTTTAAAAAAATAATTAATGATTATGTGATTATATTGGCAAAAAATTTGTGATTAATATGTAATTACTTGGACATCCCCATGTGGGGCCTCAAAACTAGGTTGGTGATCGATATTCTTGGGAACTATGAGAATATAGCGCGTAAAATAAGGTCTTTGGTATCTTATGATATGATTTCAGTTATTTTGTTCAAAAAATGTTTTTTTAGAACGATTTACCGTGTTTTTCCTTTTTCAATGCATCAATTTGGTTACCACTAAAACATACCTATAGGAGAAGGGTTCATCGTGCAGCTACACTCTTTCTTTAATATTTCGTTTAAACAATTACGTTTACAATCAAGAAAGCTGTAATCGATGGTGTCTATACATGTCTGATTTCCATACGCTATGTATGGACTTGGTAAAGATATATACTGTAAATATACAAAACAAAATATACAAATACATACTCCTAACCAAATTTGACATATATGCGTTTTTAAATTTTTTTAAAATAAATTCAATATTTCATTGGTGTAAATGAGGTCAGGTGTCAATTTTCTATCTACAGTAAACAAAATCAATCAGACATTATCGATCATGGCAATGTTCATGGGCATTTTTGGTAATGTCCGCCCGTTCGATTTCTTTGGTAAAAGAAACTTTATAGCCACATATGAAGGAGGAGGACGTTCTCGTGCTAAAAATACTGGCCGCAGAATATTCATCTTGATCGACTTCAACTTTCCGTCAATTCCTTTGTCTCCTGGGAAATCTATATCTATCATGTATGGACTTTTAACGAGGTCAATTCATAATATATGAACCTGTTAAGATTATATTGACCGAGGACGAAGTCCCAGTGTCAATATTATCTAACATGTCCATTTATTACGTATTGACTGAGTGCAAGTCCTTAATTTCAATATTACATATGTTAATAGTGTGTTATCGAAATAGACAAAATGTTCTTTCTGTGTATTTTACATTGTATTTTGCAAGATTGTTAATACTGACCGTCAATAAATACATGTATATTAAATAGAAACATAGCGTCCGTTTACTAAATAAAAATAGAAACAAAGCTTCAGGTACTTGGAATAACCTTTCAATCACGTGATCATAATAACCAAAGAATAAAGAATAACAAATATGAAATTAGGTGACATGTTTGCCTTCTGTAAAGACACCATATAATAACAACATTGCTATATCATTTAAGGGCATATGATACAGAAAAGACCTCTTGTTGATTTTCCTGACACAAAGTCAACCTTGATATGAGCTATCGGAATAAGCAAATAAAAACACACCTCCTAGACTTACTTTTCGAGATATTTTAGTTTGAAATGTGCATATTTTATGTGAAAACACAACATTTCTATTTTCAATATTTTTTTCCGAAATATAACACAGTTTTAAAACGAACAGAGATATTTTCATCCGTTTTTATACGCCTGTCATAATTTTGACGGGACGTATTATGGTATACAAATGTCGTCTGTCCGTCTGTCCGTCTGTCCGTCTGTCTGTCCGGCGTAAACATGTCGCACCGTAACTTGAGAACGACTTATCCAAATTTCATGAAACTTAAGATAGTTGTTTCTTATGATGGTCAAACGATCTGTATACTTTTGGTGAAAATAAGATTAAAACTTTTTGAGTTACGGGACTTAGTAACTAAAACAGGTGTGTGGTTTTTTTTTCACATGTCGCGCTGTATCTCAAAAACAATTTATGATTATTGCTTAAAACTTTACACACTTCTTAGTTATATTAATCTTAAGATCTGTATACTTTTTAGTGATGATTCAAAATTTTATTTTTGAGTTATTGAGTATTTTGTTAAAAAAGGGGGAGGGGTTTTTCACATGTCGCGCCGTATCTCAAAAACGATTTATGATTATTGCTTAAAATTTTACACACTTCTTAATTATATTAATCTAAAGATCTGTATACTTTTTGGTTTTGATTCAAAATTTTATTTTTGAGATATTGATTTTTTTTTTTGAAAGGGGGGTTTTCACATGTCGCGCCGTATCTCAAAATCTATTTATGATTATTGCTTATAGTTTTACACACTTCTTAGTCATATTAATCTAAAGATCTGTATACTTTTTGGTTTTGATTCAAAATTTTATTTTAGAGATATTGAGTTTTTTGTAAAAAAAGGGGGTTTTCGCATGTCAGGCCGTATGTCAGAAACTATTTATGATTATTGCATAAAAATTCACACACAAGACGACGAGCGTATCATGCGCTCATGGCGCAGCTGTTTATTTTAAAAGTGCTTCTTCATTTACAGGCCTGTAAGGCCCTTTAGAAAGTCATGAAATGAAGGCTAAATACGAATACATTTTTGTGAAATCATATTGTTATTGGTAATAAAAAGCCGTAGTCAATTTTACAGAAAAAAAATTGAATTATTCATACAATTTTAATATAACATTCTTGAAGCAGTACATTATTGATTTCAAATTAAAAACAAATTGGGGTTCATCTGATGATTTTTAGCTGGAAATAGAAAACCTAGTTTTTCAAATGCCGGTGATCCCATTTCCCTTTTTTTGCGCTAAATTACGTCCCAGTGTCTACTTAAGACAAAACTGGTGTGCAGTAATTACCGCCGTACATCAAAACGCTAAACGAATTACTGTCATATATACTGCAGCTGTGCTATTTGCACAGTCAAATTGCATTGACCTTATATTAATTCATTTTCGATATACAGTCACTGACCGTATATCGCCTTGTTTGTGACGTTGACAATACGTTTCCGTATATGCATCAATAAACAATACAGGTTCGCGTAAATTTTACGTCGTTCGCTCAAAATTAAAAAATTATGGTTTTTACCATAAATATCTCATTTGGAACAGTTATAGGAGTTGCAGTATATAAAGATTAACCATACATTGTCTCGAAATATAAATTTTATTTGTACTCGGCTCAAAACAGGATAGAAATGCTCGGCACAGCCTCGCATTTAACCTGGTATTCAGCCTTGTACAATTAAATTTTATATTTCGAGACAATGTATGGTTATTCTATATATACGAATGTATTGATGAACGAAAAGTAAAAAGTCTTCAATTGCCTCGAATTTTAAGCCCCCACAGTATATTTCGCGTGCTTGAATATACATTATTGTTTTTTTTTGTTAGTTATTTTTCCTCGAAATTTGGCTGTTTATCATTACCAACGTTGCGAAAACAACGGGTTAAATATGAATACATTATTAGCAGCTCTTGCTACTGTATTGTATGCCCTTAAATTGTTACTATATCCGAAAAAACTATAAGCATGATATATAGAAGCAAGATTTATTCACAACGTTTTAGACCTGGGAGATGTCATACTTGATACATTTTATAGACAATGTTCCCCTCAAAATGAAATAAAATGTGATAAAAAGAAGACATCTAGGAGCAAAATGTTAGTTTTTCCCTTATTTTGGAGCAATAACATGTTAATACATTTCGGAATTTCAAATGTCGGCTTTTCATAGATACAGACAGGTAGATTGAGAATTTTATACTGATTGTCATCCAATCAGAACCATTGATACAAAGTAATTGCATGAGAATTTATGGTTATTTTTGTCGTTATGTTGCTGTCTCGCTAACCCTTTCTCGCATCTTTCTTTTGTTTATGCGATAATGCAACTTAGTCAGTTGAACATTCCTTTAACAATAAAATTATGTCAGTGGCCTTTAATCGAGTGGCAGTATGAACAAATACAACTAATACTTTTCAGATCTATCGTTAGACATTTTAAAAATTATTATAAATCAAAATGGAAGGATTTTAATGATATTGTGAGAATTGAGATTTCATCAAAATATATCAAACTGGAGAAATGCTTTAAAACAAATATCTATAATATTTTTTAACCAAAACTTAAAAAACGAAAACTGACCTCTCTCCTGTGAATTTCTATAAATGTTTCAGTGCCATTTCTCAAAGTTCTACCATCTCTAAACATATTTGGATCTTCTTGAGGATCGTGAATAGCAATCTGATCAAAACACAAAAAAAAAAAAATATTTTGATAAATGTGAGGAGCAGTAAAACATAAGGCTCCAAAAGGGCGACAATTGATAATGACTGACGCTCACAACGATTCAAAAATGTTTTCTCCTTTAAGACCACCCTCAAATAAAAACGACTTACACTCATAAAGATTCATATGTTTTCAATCCCGCTCCCACCTAATCTAAAAAAAGATACTAATCGTCGGAAAAACAATGGTGTTAATGCACTAAATAAAATGCTATGTTTCTCAATAAAAGAACAAAATATATCCTAAAATATTACATGTATCACAAAATATTTTAAAAAATTGATGGTTCTACCACATTTTGTAAACAGTTAAACATTTTTTTTTCTCCTTCATTTCACATTAAAAATCGAGAATTTTTCCCCGCAAAACAAATCGAGTTTTATAAGTCTTGTTTTTATTTATTATTATTCTTCATATCTTTGATTTATCCTACATTTGTCTACTTGAGGAATAGATTAATGTTTGAACGTAACACGTCTTCTGATTGGCTGAAAGTGTTATGTTTATCAGCTGATAGACATAATTTTGTCTTGTGATCGTGACGTCATTAACGTTTTTTTCATGATCTTCTCATAAAAATGGAATTTACTAGTAGAATTAAATTATAAGGATTTACTGTAATATTTTTGTCTATGAAAAAATAACATAAAAAATGTTGTGCACACTTGATAACGCGCGTAACTGGTTATTTAAAAGTGTGCACCACATTGTTTATGTTAGCCTATTTCGAATAGACAGAACAAATATTATGGTCAGATCATATGTTTTCGTAAGTCATATGAATTCGTACTATGCATGCTTTTTCAATGGACATTTTGACGTCACAATGCATTCTTAATATCACGAAAACCCACGAGACGATACTGTCATTCCTACTCATTTACGCAAAAACATAATGTGTAATTTTTTTATTTTTTTTTTGTCTATTGAAGCTGGCGATTATTTTATCTTGATTTAAAAAACTTACAATGGAAACATTATACTAGTTATCAAGTCAGTCTTGTTTTACGTCAGATTTTCATAACCATACCTCTAAAATAACGAGGTCCAATTTGGTAGCCAGCATGACGTAAACACGACGAATCAAAGAATTCAACTCTATATATACCTAGTATAGAAAATGGCGTTTTCCAAATAATTAATTACCGAGTCACATGAGATTCGGTCTAATTAGTCATGCAGACGAGGAACGTCACATTGGGATAAATCTGTTAAGGGATTCTCATTGGTAAATATTATCTTATTTCGTATGAAATAAAGGCTTTCTTATCGTCCGATTGGTTAATATTGGGGTGCATCTATTATATGTGAGAGTATCCGTAAGTGAGGCCGGAGAAAA